TGGGCGTCGGGATCCCAGCTGGGGTTAGGCTGCTGGAGTCGCCCCGTTTCAACGGGTCCTACGTGCTCCGCTCCGCCAAGGTGTTACCCGCTTTCGCAGTAGCGATGATCGAGATACTGCAGGCTTTTTGTCTAACATTACAGTCCCTATAACGTACCAAGGGGAAAAGAAAGCACCGAGCCCCCAGTGAGTACTGGGCCTCAGCCCTAAGTGTAGTTTAAACCTGAAGTATTTTGTTCCTTTCTCGCGTAAAAACACAAACTTTTCTGCACCTAGTTCTTCCATTATACCACAAAATGATATTTTTGTGAAAGCTACTCATCTTTTCCTCCTCTTTCTTTTCCCTCGCACTCAAAATGCAGCTCCAGCCGGAGAACGAAACAGCCGGGGTCTGCGTTGGCCTGAAGTGAATTGGATGTTCACTTGTTTGATCAGTTATACTACGTGTAGGCGAAAAAGAAAAGGATTTTGAGAAGTTGCTCTTTTGGAAGAGGATAAAAAAAATGGGAGTTGCGTCAGCAGATTTTTGCCCTGGGATGAACAGTCACCAATAATAAGATCTTGAGACAGCTATGCGCAGTGCAGCGTAGTTTGACTCCGTGAGTGAAAGAATCCCATAAAAGGAGGACAGCAGGATGTGCTTAAGATGGAAGCAAATTGGTCTGTATGAACAAGGGATAGAGTTAAGACATACTTCCATAAATGCTGCAAATAATTACAAAGCAGTAAAATTGATGAGATTTTTTTAATGCATATTTGAGGCAGATATGATATTTGGTCTTGTGTTTCAGTATACATCTTCCTTACCATACTGTATTGATTTAAAGGTGTTTGAACAAAAACAATGGTTTTGATGACTTAACCAAGGTGCCCAGAATGGGAAACAAATTCTTTTGCAAATAATTGGATCATAATATATATTGCCGGTCTTTTGTAGAACATAGGCATATTGTTATCTTTCATTTTTAGATGATGGTTCATTTTGTGTTTCTTTATCGTCTTTGGATTATGTTTCATTTTGTTATGGTTTGTTTGGTTTTTTTTTTCCAATGGAGTTGGGGCTATAATCCAAAGCACAGGCTTTTACGTGATTTCAGTTGCGGGTTTGTTCTTATGCTAAACTGTTGGTTTATTCCATATTATATAGTCATTGCACAGAATAGTATGCAAGAAAATGATTAGGGGACTACACACAAATTTATGTCTTAACAGCTTTTGAGCAAAAATTAGGAACCTTAAAGGTAACTTCTGATGATGTCAGGGAAAAAGAGTTACCTGCTCTGTTTAAAAGTAGTCTGTATAAGTCTGTTGCTAAGACCAACTTTTAGAAACAATAATAGCAAACTACATTCAGTGATATGACTCCTTACATTTTTATATATCACTTGTATAACTTTTTTTTCATATCATCATTAGAAAG